ATCTCTTGCATTGCGCAAGGAACGGGTCCATGAGGGTCCTATCTTAAAACCTATCCGAGGGATAGCATATCGGTTCTAATATATGTCGATCTCTTGCATTGCGCAAGGAACGGGTCCATGAGGGTCCTATCTTAAAACCTATCCGAGGGATAGCATATCGGTTCTAATATATGTCGATCTCTTGCATTGCGCAAGGAACGGGTCCATGAGGGTCCTATCTTAAAACCTATCCGAGGGATAGCATATCGGTTCTAATATATGTCGATCTCTTGCATTGCGCAAGGAACGGGTCCATGAGGGTCCTATCTTAAAACCTATCCGAGGGATAGCATATCGGTTCTAATATATGTCGATCTCTTGCATTGCGCAAGGAACGGGTCCATGAGGGTCCTATCTTAAAACCTATCCGAAGGATAGTACATCGACTCTAATATCTGCTGATCTCTTACATTGCGCAAGGAAAGGGTCCAAGAGGATCCTATCTTAAAACCTATCCGAGGGATAATACGTCGGCTCTAATATCTGCCGATCTCTTGCGTTGCATAAGTAAAGGGTCCATGAGGATCCTATCTTATCTGAGGGATAGTATGTCCATTGTAAGCTATGCTAATCTATTGCGTGTTTAAGGAAAGAATCCATAAAGTTCCTATCTTAAAACCTATCCGGGGGATAGTACATCTGCCGTAAGCTATGCCGATCTCTTGCGTTGCTCAAGGAAAAGATCCATGAGGGTCCTATCTTAAACCTATCCCAGGGATAGTACATTAGCTATCAGTTATGTCAAGCTCGTGGAGCTTACCCAAAGAATAATACTTCGGCATATATGTTAAAAATATTTCAACACAACTTTGAAATTAAAATATCCCAGATAGCACGACCATTGCATACAGATCTTCTAAGTCAAAAAAGTCAAATTCAATTACACACACAAAAAAACAAAACAAAACAGAATGTTTCTTCTCATCCCATCCTAGGTACTACCAGTCGTTACTCCCTTAGCAGTATTCTGATCGGTAGCTTTGGGGCATGGGTAAGGTACATTTTTCCTCAGCTCGGAGTCAATTGGAACATTCGCAGCCTCCAGTGTCGATGTCCAACCATCCTCTAATAATATATTCTCGAGCTTGGCAAACTGCACCTCATATATGGCAGTAGCCTCACTACAACCCTCATCTTTCGCTGCCTTTACCACATTAACAAGGTAATCCTTCGTCGCAATAAGTGCTTCGGAGAGCTGTTCTTCTCCATCTTTAATGCACTAATCTCTTGTTTCATGGACGTCAACTTTGAGTCCATGGCTTGAAGCTTTGAATCAAGCTCTGCAACTTTGCCCTCCGCAGTCGCTGCTCGTAGTTCAAGCTCTTTGGTTGTCTCAATCAATTGGTCATTAGATGACTTCAACTTGTCTGCAGCCCTGACCGGTCTGTTATGACACACCATGGCCTCATAAGTGGAAAACACACCCTACAATTCAAACGAAGCAGAATCAATCAACCAATCAAATATCGAGGCATAAATCAAGCAATAAAGAGGCAATACAACCACTTATTATCGAAGAAGAATGCCGTGCTTGAGAAAAAATAGCAATGTCTTACTGTTCGGCTAGGCGTGCGGTGTTAAGGGGTAAAATCGAGCTACGAACAATTACGGAGACAACTTCAGCGCTTTGTATTTGTCAACTGCCAATCCTTTAGGAAAGACACTAAAGTGATCGGAGAAACAACAACCACTGGTTCCGAAGCAGAGGCTGGAAATGATGCCATGGCAGCTACAGAAGGATCAGTACGACTTTTCTTCCAAACCTCGGTCGATTGATCGGATGGTCGTTTGCTCAATTTTTGGACAGAAGGAATAGACCCATCAGAAACCACAATAGGATTAGGGGGAGAATCACCTACTATGACAACTGACGAGTACTAGGGCCGATCAGCAGTTGCAGGGTCGGAAGAGGTCTGCGAAGGTGACGTTGCCATCGCAGCTCTTTTACATTTTTGGGCCGCTGCGATCTCCAAGAAATTCTTCGGCAGAATGGTATCGGATTTGGTGGCCTCCGAACTAGATGACTCTTCTTGGGATTCTTCTTCTAAAACAAATTCTTCAACAACCTCTCGTAGATGAGAAAGAATGTAAAAGTGAAAACCACCGTCAGCACCAAGATCTATGCCATCAGTGGCTATTACGGTTCTGTAATGAAGAACGTATATGGGCAAGACATGAGCCGCCAACCTTGCCCTTGTTGCTCTGGTGTCCTCTGTACGACCAAGCTTGGCGGAAAAGAGAGAGGTTTACTTGATTTTCCCACTCGCTGGGGTGAGTAAAGACTTCAAGAGCTATGGCAAATAAACGCAATCGTTAGTAAAATTAGATGACAAGACAGATACAAAGACAAAGCAAACAAAGGTAACTTATAACCTGGACGTCCAATGACCTTAGGGACAGGTCGGATCCGATTAACTCCAGGAGGAAATTCCCAATTCCCCTCTATTATAACAAACACATCATTCATACCTTTACCAGAATCAGGAAGCATTTGAACAAGTTGGCGCTTTATCGACTTGGGTTTGAAGTAAAACTTTGTTCTTTCTTTGGTAGTGGGAACAAAATTATAGCAGTACTGCGTGTTTAAGGAAAGAATCCATAAAGTTCCTATCTTAAAACCTATCCGGGGGATAGTACATCAATCGTAAGTTATTCTGATCTCTTGCGTTGCTCAAGGAAAGGATCCATGAAGTTCCTATCTTAAAACCTATACGGGGGATAGTAAATCGGCCGTAAGCTATGCCGATCTCTTGCGTTGCTCAAGGAAAAGATCCATGAGGGTCCTATCTCAAACCTATCCCAGGGATAGTACATTAGCTATCAGTTATGTCAAGCTCGTGGAGCTTACCCAAAGAATAATACTTCGGCATATATGTTAAAAATATTTCAACACAACTTTGAAATTAAAATATCCCAGATAGCACGACCATTGCATACAGATCTTCTAAGTCAAAAAAGTCAAATTCAATTACACACACAAAAAAACAAAACAAAACAGAATGTTTCTTCTCATCCCATCCTAGGTACTACCAGTCGTTACTCCCTTAGCAGTATTCTGATCGGTAGCTTTGGGGCATGGGTAAGGTACATTTTTCCTCAGCTCGGAGTCAATTGGAACATTCGCAGCGTTTAGTGCCGATGTCCAATCATCCTCAAATAACATATTCTCGAGCTTAGCAAACTGCACCTCATATACGGCGGTAACCTCACTACAACCCTCGTCTTTCGGTGCCTTTACCGCATTAGCCAGATCATTATTCGACGCAGTAAGTGCTTCGGAAAACTGTTCCTTCTCCATCTTCAATGCACTAATCTCTTGTTCCATAGACATCAACTTTGAGTCCATGGCTTGAAGCTTTGAATCAAGCTCTGCAACTTTGCCCTCCGCAGTCGCTGCTCGTAGTTCAAGCTCTTTGGTTGTCTCAATCAATTGGTCATTAGATGACTTCAACTTGTCTGCAGCCCTGACCGGTCTGTTATGACACACCATGGCCTCATAAGTGGAAAACACACCCTACAATTCAAACAAAGCAGAATCAATCAACCAATCAAATATCGAGGCATAAATCAAGCAATAAAGAGGCAATACAACCACTTATTATCGAAGAAGAATACCGTGCTTGAGAAAAAATAGCAATGTCTTACTGTTCGGCTAGGCGTGCGGTGTTAAGGGGTAAAATCGAGCTACGAACAATTACGGAGACAACTTCAGCGCTTTGTATTTGTCAACTGCCAATCCTTTAGGAAAGACACTAAAGTGATCGGAGAAACAACAATTAAAAAAAAAAAAAAAAAAAAAAAACCAACAACAACAACAACAAACAAAGCAGCTGGCAGCCTACATTGTCAATGACAGTGTAGGCACAGTATTTTGCCAGTCTACTCCCATAGGCAAAAATGACAATTTTGCCCTTGTAGACTAATTTTGGAAAAAATAAACTTAGGATAAATTTGTTATTTTAACTTCAAATATCATTTTAAACACATTTTTTAATACAACAACTAAAATAAAAATTTACCATATCTTCTCAAACACAATAACACCATCCTATCTTCCCAAATACAATAAAAATTCATCATATCTTTCTAAACATAAAAATTAAAATAATCTACTAAAATAGTCAAAAAAATCAAAAAACCAACACACTTCTCAAACCAACCCAAAAACGAATGTCAAACAAACCACATAAACTATATACATTTTGGTGACCAAAATGTGATGGTAGAGTGGGACTAACCACATCGTAAGACTCCACTTTTTCAAAAATCTCATATTTCTAAGCATCCAAACAAAAAAAAAAAAAAATTGGTCTTAACCTCCTAAAAAATTCTAAAGCAAAAACAAATAATATCTCCTTGTACAAAGCAAAGAAGAAGAAAAATAAAAATCATCTCATATATAAAAAAATAAAATTTTATTTTCCAATGACCCAAATTTATTTTTAAAACAAAGAAAATAAAATGTTATGGATCCTAAATAAATTATTAAATTTTTTACCAAACTTGTGTGGGTCCCATACCCATGTGTGTAGATCCCACACCCATGTGAGAAATTTGGTAAAAAATTTGATAACTCAAAAAGAAAAAACCATTGTCCAAGGATTGTGAATAACTTCAAATTTTAATTACAAGTTTAGGAGAGAGAGATTTAAAAATATTATTTAAATGTAAAAAAGCTCTCACCATAGGCTTCAAGAAGGATTGAAAACTTCCAAATAAGTCACATGTTTTTTCAAAAAATTTTGTTTTTAGTGACATTTTTAATTTTTTTTTTCTTACCTTTATAAAAAGCAAATTTATTTGGTAAAAAAAACCAAAAAAAAAAAATTATAAGAACAATAAGCAAAAAAAAATGCACTATTTTTTACTTATTTTTATCTTTTCTAAATTTTTATGAAAATTTTCTAAATTTTCTTAAATTTTTCGATTCGTCTCATGGAGTAGAATCCAGAATTAGGAGATCACCAAACACAACCCAAAATGAGTTGATGAAATTGAAATTTGTCCATTCAAAATTGACAAAAAAAATCTTACAATAATAATTGCTCTTTGCTTTCCTTTTCCAGCAAAGGCCAAACAACAAAAATGTCAAAAAGAAAAACAATAGCAACAACAATTTCTTTTCTTCTTGCCTGTCTAAGTATCCAATGCTGTAACAGCCATGTTAGGCTTTCATAGCTATGAATCACAATCCCCAACCAAAAAGAAAAAAGAGAAGAAAGAAAGATGGAAAATAGGAACCAAACGAAAACAAAATTTGTTAACAAGGTTGGTTTGGTTTGCAATTAAGTGGACCAGCAAAGCGGGTGAGTCTAGAGACATAAGTTCCAGGTTTTGCTTTGATCATATCTGCACTTGGGAACGGTTTATTTTGTAATGGTGACCCTGACTGAACGAAGAATGCTCCATTCATCATTAGATCTCCCTCTGATCTCCATTGCCAATTCTTCCACTGACTCTCGGGAGCATAGTCTCTCTTGGTCACCTTCATCAACAACAAAATATAAACCGTTTGTAACAATTACATGATTGATGCAAGGTATATTATGTATCTCTAGATTTTTTGGGTAGTTAATAATTACCTCCTTAGCATAGGCGTTAGGAGGAGCGATGAATCGATTGCCCTGGCTGATGATGGTGGGATGACTGCTACCACCAACGGCATACATGAGCCAATGAGTGTAGTCGTTGTTAACAACATGTACGAATCCCCATCTGCATCGTGGCATCCTCTGCACCAACCCTTGTCCAAAATGATTAAATGCAACCGTAATTTGCATTATCTTATCACCGGAATAGGCATCACTTGCTCCAAACAACATCACCTACATCATTCCATACATATTATTAGCCTCTGTACAAGTGATGACGCTAGTGCTAATTTTTTTTTTTTTCTATTAGGTCGTTTTCAATATGGATTTAATGTAGGTCATTAATTATGTGCATTTTATAATATTTTCACTACACGTACATATTATATTGGACATATTACATGTTTGGTATTTCATTTTCTTTACACATCTAATTAGTTTCTAACCTCAAGCTTTTCTTATTATTAGGCTTGATGAATAAGATAGAGTAACGTAATGTTCTAAATTAACTAAATTTGGATTGTTTTTTTTATTTTGGTGTCACCTAGCTAACCTAATCTAAATCCAAATAGAAGTTGATTTAAATGTTTGATGATCTTACATCATTATGGTGAGTGAAATGGCCGTTGGAGATGGTAATGCCAGTTGATCCCATGATGGCATCAATGAGCCCATCCCCGCAGTTGGACATGGAAACATGGTCAATCCAAACGTTAACTCCACCATAGATGGAAATCCCATCGCCATCACTTCTCGTTCTAAGGCCAATGTGGTTAATCGAGTCTCTGATCATGCCACCCGAGCATGGAACAATGTCATGAATATGGAGGCCATGGATGATGACGTTCTGGACGTATTGGATGGTAAGACCAGCACCATTAGCGATATGGACATTGGCTCCCCTAGCATCAATGGTCTTGTGACTAGTTATAATGAGCTCTTGAGAAAGCTTAATCGTCATAGATCGTGCGAAGATGATCCACAATGGCTCCTGCTGGATCACAGCATGACGAAGAGTCCCGGGTCTGGGTTTCCCAATATCATTGTCTGATGGATCGGTTACCACATAGAATTTTCCCAGCTTCCCACCAGTGGTCTTGTGGCCAAACCCGAGGACGCAGTCTGCTAGTTTCTTTCTATTTTGCATCCAGTCAGGCTGACACCTCCAGCATCGGTCTATGGGGTTTGTTGCCATGCATGCGCCATTATACTTGTTAAGACTTCTCCTTGTGCCATTGACACCCTTCAATACCCTAAATAAAATAAAAAATCATAAGAAGAAGAAACAAAAATAGAAGAGAAAACTAAGTTCACATCATGGTTTTTTTTATTATAAATGATATCGAGTTATGTATCAATATCGATAATACAATCATATATACAGATGTCGATTATATATCTGTTGACATTTAAATCAGATGTGAGACACTTACGCATGAACATGTTTGTTGAAATTCTCAGTGATCTCTTCAGGGTTGCGGTTGAATGTCTCCTCCGCAGCTTTTTGTGCTTCCTTAGCCCTCTGATGCCAGTATTGATCAAATTCCCCAATATTGGCGTGCAAAGCCGGGATCATCACAGCAAAGGACAAGAAGAAGAAGAAGAGAAGAATCATATTGCGATTCATGACTGCTATTGTTATAGAATTAACGATCAATATCCTTGGTCGTTATTCCCTTTTTTTTTTTTTTAATTTGAAATTTTAATCTTTATTCGCAAGCGAATCACAGCTTTAATGGCGGTGATTCGCTGCTTGTGCCTTGGAAGAAGACTACCAGGCTTACTTTTTATATGCGCTGTGCTAAGAGCTTACAATCGCAAGTAAAGGGTACCTGAAGAAATATGTTGCGGGAAAAATGGATCACCATTTCTATGATTGGTGGTGTATCAACCGTAACAGTTACCTTTGAATTGTTCTATTTTGGGAAATTCATATATGAGGACTAGGGTGTGCTAAAAAAAAAAAACTGGTAATACTGTATAAACAAATCTTAACTGGTCCAACTTTATGGTTTGCTACAGTCTTTGGAGGGGACACGTGGTTCTTTTTCCAAAAACAAAAATTAACAACAGTTAATTACGGTTTGGTTCACTAGGCCTCGTTTGGCAATAGGCTATTTTAGCCAATTAGTCAAAAAGTTACTAAATTAGTCAAAAAGCCAACAACCCATACCAAAAAGTCAAAGATTCTCTTTTCTCTCTACTTTTTGCACATCTTTTCGTAATTAGCCAAAAAATCATCCCAAACATACAAGTTTTTTTTACCTACCTTTTTAGCCAAATAGCCAAAAAGTTACTAAATTAGCCTGTTCCCAAACAAGGCCGCAAAGAACCGAACTGCTCAATCTTTTTGTTAATTTTAATATTTATAAGTTGTTTACTTCTCATTTAATTTTTCGAACTTCAATCTCATTTCCATATCGATGAGAGCTTCATTCATCTGGAAATTTGAAGGACACTTCAATTAATGAAACATCCCTCTTAAATTATGTATAGTAGGAGAGATCTAACATGTTTTTTTAATTAACTAAGGTCTCTCAATATTTTTACAGAGAAAATTTGGTCCCTACACAGAGAAATTTCAATTTTCACAAACAAATTATTGAAGAATTTTAACCATTATAAAAATATTATATGACATTTATCTTATAAAATCTTAATATTAAAAATCTTAAAAAAAAAAAAAATCCCCTAACTATTAACCAGCGTTTTAAAAATGATTCATGCTTTAGAAAGAAAAAAAAAATTACAAATACACCCCCTAAGGATTGTTTAAAGTATATATTGCCCCCTGTGATTAAGAAAATTACAAATACCCCCTTATTAGAATTTTTTATTTAACAGAATTAACTAAAAAAATTGAAATTCATAATTGTTATCCTATACAATAATAAAATTACTTAAATTATTAATTGAAACATGTTTTTAACATCATTAAAAACTGTTAATTGACTTCATGATTTATTAATAAAAAAATGAGAGATTTGTTATGAAATTAGAAATCTCAAAAGGTATAATGTAATTTTCAAAATCACAGTATTTTAATCAAATCTCATATGTTTGTTTGTAATTTATCCTAAAAAAATCATATAAAAATAATATATTTTTATTTTTTTCATCAGGCAATAAATAAGGGGATTAGTGTTTTTATAAATTCATTACTATTAATATATATATATATATATTAGTATTTTGAATCCGTGGTGGAACATGCACCAATTATTAATGTACTAACTAGTAGATTAATATTAATTATGAAATTATTATTAACTCCACTTATTAAGAGCATCTCCAATACACTAGGCATATAATACTTGTTAGTTAAAATACCTAGTATGATTCACTTTTTTCAATTCCAATGCACTAGGCATATGATTAGGCATTTTGGCTCAACTCATTTTCACTAGCTACATGTAGCTAGCCTTCAACGCTAGGCAAAATGTATTCAATCATTAGGATCATTTCCCTCCATCTTTGTTGTTAACGTGGAATTTTATAAAATTAATAGTATTTGGATAAATAGCTAAAATAAAGAGCATGGTTGGAGTAAAAACATAAAACAGTTATTCATCCATTTTTACTGAATCAATCTGTTGTTGTTTCAGATCTTCTCTATAAGGACTACCAGAGCGACCACAAGTTCACTGTCACTACTTACACTAATACCGGACTCGTCAGTCTCTCTCTCTCTCTCTCTCTCTCTCTCTCTCTCATGTGTGCGTGTGTGTGTTTAGATTTGTTGCGTTTATATTACGAATTGTGGATTAAATCGGTCTATCAAGGTAGGGTTTAGGCCTGTTTGGTTACTGAGAAAATGATGAAAAAAGAAAATTGAAATTGAATCTTGAAATCGCGTGCCTGACTATGTTTTGATTATGAAAAAAATTACGGTTAAAATTTTGACAGTGACTTTATTTTCATAATCTTGCTTCTTATTGAGGAATGGATATGGATGTTTCATTCAATGCATGTTATTCCAGGACTAGCATTTTTATGCGATGGGAAAAAAAATAATATATATATATATATATATGAGAATCTGGTTACATTGCATCTACTTAGTTTTCTTAATGCTTTTATTGACCGTTGAGGAAAAGTAGGAAAATATGCAAACCCCTCCTCCCATTCCTTCATGTTGTTACTTGGCTATTAAATGGAGCAGTAGTCTACATCTTGTTGGAATATGTACAGATGGGAGTTTGTTTTTGTTGATAACTTTTTACCAAACCCATGCGATCAAGGAAGCACGGGTGCGGGTACAAGTACGAGTGCGGGTGCGCCGATTCGGCAAAACTCAAAAAAAGTACGATATAGGTACAGCTGCGGTACACCGATATATATATATATTTTTAAATATAATTATGGTTAAATGATCCAACCTACAAATTAAAATTGAATATCAAAACTAAAAAAAGAACTACTCATTTTCCTATAATTTAAAATCATTAAGCGTTAAAAATAATATTTGTAAAATCTCTCACTTTGACATGTTATGCATTGTGAATTTGTGATCATAATTTATTTTTAAAATATTTCTTTTTGCTCATCAATTTGCTATTTTTATAGGGTGAGACCAAAGAAATAACAAGAGACCAAAGAAAGATTTAAAGTTAATTGCCAACAGTAAATGAAAAAAAATTCTCAATTGGGGCAAGTTGTCAATTGCAATTTGCATAATACATAAAATTGTATCATTCCCAACCACTACTAATCAATTAATCCAGTATTAATTTTTAATGTTTTGTGCAGAAACTTTAAAAGTTTGTTATGATTAAAGATTTTATAAAGAAATTCTGGGAGAATCTGAAGCAAAAGCATAATGCATAGTCATACATCGAACTATCCTTTATAGGCCTTGTTATTTTTTTTTTTGTTCAAATTGCTTTTTGAAAACATCAAAATCATTTGCTGATATGCTTATACAATTTATACCGACAGACAGGACAGCAGAGAAATATCAAAATTACTGATCTGCAAAGGCATAAAAAAATAATAATAATAATAATAATTGCTGATCTGCAAGGGCAAAAAAAAAAAAAAGGCCCTGGCATACCCATGGCGTACCCACGATGTACCCGAATGACCCAAACGTACCGGACTTTCTTTTTCCGTACCCGGTACGCGTATCGCCGTACTGGTACGCGTACCCGCACCCGGTAAGTACTCGGTACTCGTACGGCACTATTTTTGAAGTACCCGTGCCTGGGAGCATGCGATTCTAGAAAGAAAAATGTTAGGGACCCTAAATGTTTTATTAAATATTCTACCAAATGTCTCACATAGGTGTGGGACCCACATCGATGTGAGACATTTGGTAGAACATTTGATAAAATATTTTGGGTCCCTAGCATTACTCTTCTAGAATAGATTTCCCAAACCCCTGTAGTGTTTTTTACTTATTTCCCAAATCTACATTGCTTTGTGAAAACATAGACTACAACTAATTTATTGTGAAACTTTTGAAACTGTGTTTGGAGAACATGATTTCAAAAAAAAAAACACTAAGAGCTTGGGAGATAAGATCAAAACAACTGTGATTGGGAAATAAATTTGTTATATATTTAATTTAGTGAAAAAACTACCTTATGACTGGCAAGTTGGCAACATTAAGCTGTATGTATATGCTCGTCCAATCTAAACATGTGATACTGACTTTGTCTTTGTGATCTTTTTTTCGCATACGACTCTTAAAGCCTTATGGGCCATTATATACTGCTCTCAAAATTTAACTTCTTTGATTTCATAATGTTCTGATTATTTTTCAACCGTACCCACGATGTACCCGAATGACCCAAACGTACCGGACTTTCTTTTTCCGTACCCGGTACGCGTATCGCCGTACTGGTACGCGTACCCGCACCCGGTAAGTACTCGGTACTCGTACGGCACTATTTTTGAAGTACCCGTGCCTGGGAGCATGCGATTCTAGAAAGAAAAATGTTAGGGACCCTAAATGTTTTATTAAATGTTCTACCAAATATCTCACATAGGTGTGGGACCCACATCGATGTGAGACATTTGGTAGAACATTTGATAAAACATTTGGGGTCCCTAACATTACTCTTCTAGAATAGATTTCCCAAACTCATGTAGTTTTTTTTTTCTTATTTCCCAAATCTACATTGCTTTGTGAAAACATAGACTTCAACTAATTTATTGTGAAATTTTTGAAGCTGTGTTTGGAGAACATGATTTTAAAAAAAAAAACACTAAAGAGCTTGGGAGATAAGATCAAAACAACTGTGATTGGGAAATTTGTTATATATTTAATTTAGTGAAAAAACTACCTTATGACTGGCAAGTTGGCAACATTAAGCTGTATGTATATGCACGTCCAATCTAAACATGTGATACTGACTTTGTCTTTGTGATCTTTTTTTCGCATACGACTTTTAAAGCCTTATGGGCCATTATATACTGCTCTCAAAATTTAACTTCTTTGATTTCATAATGTTCTGATTATTCTTCATACCTCCCCCCCCGATGAATTATCATGTTCAGGTCATTACTTCATCAGGAACTAAGAAAGGTGAGTCATTTTTGGCTGATGTTAACACCAAGCTGACAAACAAGAACATCACCACTGACATAAAAGTGGACACAAACTCCAATGTAAGTCATGGAATTTTTATTCAACAGTTTTAGTTACTTTATTTAAAGAAAAAAAAAATCTTACATGAGCTTAACCATTTGAACCATATTGTCCGAGATTTAATGTTGGCTTGTGGTGTATACATTAGGTTCATATGCAAATAGTTGGGTACCCATTTGTTCTTTCATCACTCTATGGATGAGAATTGCATTTGTTAGATTGATTGTTTTGAAGATGCTGGTCTTTGTAATCTTGACAATTTTATGTATTGCATGTAGCCGTAATTTATCTGAAGCTTAGTTTCTTCTTGTAGTTTTTTAGCAGTATAATATAATTTACGATATTAGCATCTAATAAATTTTGAATCATTTAACCAATATTGCACTTTTCTGAATGAATTGTTTGTAGAGCTGTGGTTTATACATATTGTACTCATTTTGACTCCATTTTTCTTGCTCAAGTGTGTTTCTGTTGGTAATCAGGCCTAGTTTACTTTGGATGATAGTTTTTTGTATTGAAAACCTTGTGTCATCATATGAGATTCATGTAAATAATTCAGTTTGCTTGGTTGATTGGATCAAAATTACAGCTTTCATTCCCTGTGTTTTTTTTTTTTTTTTTTTTTTTTTTGTTAGTATCGCCCCAGTTTAGGTGCAATTTTTAATGCATCGACTGAAGCCACATGCCTTGTTGCAATGGATGTAGTTCAGCTTTTATTTTTGTTCGTATCTAAGTAGATGTTTTAAGAATTCAATAAAATTCATTGTAATGATGCACCACCACTGCCATTGATAATTTAGCTAACAAGTTTAAGTGTATCTGTAGCTTTTCACCACCATTACCATTGATGAACCTGCTCCTGGACTCAAGACAATCTTTAGCTTTATTGTTCCTGATCAGAGATCTGGAAAGGTAATCAGACTTTGTACTTTTATAATGTCTTCCAAGTTTGTTAGCTTGCAAATCACCAGTATTCCTCGTGTGATTAGCGAGTCTGTACATTTGACTTCATGGGAATCCTTTTACTCCATTGCAAGGACATTATGTCCCGTTGGAGTCTTACCCAGGTTTTTTATTCTGACTCGTAGTGATTGTGGTAATAGGTAGAACTCCAGTACCTGCATGAGTATGCTGGAATTAGTACTAGTATTGGATTGACAGCTAGTCCCATTGTCAATTTCTCTGGTGTGGCTGGGAACAATATTGTCTCTCTTGGGACTGATATTTCTTTTGACACTGCCTCTGGAAACATTACCAAATGCAATGCTGGGTTTAGTTTCTCAAAGTCAGATCTCATCACTTCCTTGACATTGTGAGTAGTTCCTTCATCCAAAATCTAGAGGCAAAGTGAATGAACCTTGGAATAATCTATAAATTGCTTTTATATTGATTGCTTGGTTACTTCCATTTAATTTTCTATTTTACCCTATTTGTTTATGTAGGGCAATTGGTCTATGTAGTTGAGTTGTTTTGGGTGATTTTCTCCACTCTCTAAGTGAACAATACTTAGTATTGTGGAGTTATTATGGAAATTTGTCCCCCATGTGTGTAGGCAAGGAGGATGAAGTTCTTCTCGTAAAACTTGCATCCTTATGCTCTGTTTGTTTGAATAGAAAATATTTTTGTGTATTTTTTGGTATTTGGTACAAAGGAAATTGAAAGTCAACAGAAAACGTTTTCTATAGTCAATAGAAAACTAGTTTATTTGGGTTGAAAATGTTCTCCACTTTTAAAAGGTGGAAACCCACCACAACTCCACCATCACCATCGCTACCACCACTGCAACCTTCCACCCCACCTTCACCTCTATCCTGCCACCGCTGCCACCACCATCACCCACCCACCACCCCACCACCAATTAATACAACCATTAGTACATTAGTTTCAAGCATACAACCAAACATAGGAAGATTCCATAGAAATAAACAGAGTGTGAGTTTTCGTAAAGTGAAAATAATAGAGCCTGGGGTGTCCACCGATTATGTTGTGAAATGATAAGAAAGAATGCATAAACTGTGAATCAACCTTTGCATTTTGATCGAATAAGCTTGAAGTCGTGATGGTGTGTTAAGCTTATTTCCATCTGGTCTGACTTGCTTTTTCTGTTTGACGAGGTTTTACTTATTGATGGGTACAGGAATGACAAAGGTGATGCCCTCGTCGCTTCCTACTATCATACAGTGAGCCCATTGACCAGTACTGCTGTTGGTGCAGAGCTGAAACACAGCTTTTCCAATAATGACAACAGTCTCACCATTGGAACACAACATGCACTGGACCCACTAACCACGGTGAAGGCTCGGGTAGACAATTTTGGCAAGGCAAGTGCTCTCATCCAGCATGAGTGGCGTCCAAAATCTCTCTTCACTATCTCAGGGGAAGTGGACACCAGGGCAATTGAAAAAAGTGCCAAGATTGGACTGGCTTTGGCTCTGAAGCCATGATTTTACATGTCTTACAGTTTCAATGGAAGAACGGGGCTTGTTTCTGTATGGTGGAGAGCAATAAGGTAAGTACAATGACCTTGGCGTAGTATCTCTTTTTTCCTTTTCCTTGAATGTTTTGCCCATTAATTGTGGTGGCATTGGTTTCCTTGAACTTTGGTGGTTATGATTGAATTGTAGATAATAATCTCTAGCTGATTGCACAAATTGGCATCATCATTTTCCTTAGATTCTTTAGCGAGTTGTTCTAAGTTCATTGTAGATTAATTGAGCGGAACTTTCCTTATAGAGTATGGTTGAAACATCACTGCTGGTTCATCTGCTTGTCTTTGATTTTATTTGTATTTATTTACTTATTACTTCTTGTTTTGATCTCTTTGACTAATTCCATGAGACTATTAGAAAAGACTATAACATGGAAATTTATCATGCGACTTCTCCCTCGTTTGGAAAATGCTTTGTTAATAGGTTTTTTGCTCTGTTTTTTTAATTTGGGGCAAAAAAAAGCTGTTAAAAAAGCTGATCCCTTTTACAAATGCTTAAAAAATTACTTACTTGTATGCTATGTTGCACTCTAGATCAACCAAATCTTCTCTTTCATGGATCTAGAAAACTATCAAGGTTTATTTTTTATTTTTTAAGATGGATAAATTATGATATTTGGTGTAATTCGACTTCTGTAATTATAATCTTTAGCATTATTAGGATTTTGTAATCTGTCGAATTTTTATTGTGAGTTTTAGTTTGTGAAAGTTGTGAACTCTGTTTGGAAAAAATGCCTTCAATAAAGAAAAAAAATGTTTCAGAGCTCTAGAGCTCTAGTTGCTTTAATGCCGGGGCAATTGTACGAGTCCTATCTTGATGTGATATTTTGGCTCTATATATATACAACAATAATTCATCTCCCTTTTTCCTTCACTCCCTTTGACCCCCTCTCTCTCTCATTGGTCACTTTTTTTTTTTCTTTTTCTTTTTTTTCCTGCTCCTCCAATCACCACCTGTCACATGGCAAAGGGGGTGAGGGGGTGACCCCCAAAAGGGGGTCCCAAGCATTATTCATATACATATATATATATATATTAAGCTGCCAGCTCTATAGAACTCTATTTTGGGGCTACCAATCACTCTCTATTTTGCAGCTACCAATCACTGCTGAATAAAGAAATTCCACCAATTGCTTTGGGCACTGTGGAATTACTTATAGCTATAATGTGTGAATAATATATGATTTTCGTTAACTAGTATTTTAAAAATATTGGTTAATAATATTTAAATTGATTGTATAATTTTTATTTTATACATGCAATTTATGCAAACATATTAAACTTTTTAATAATTGCTTTAAGAACACATTTGGGAAAAAAAAAAAAGCTGTTAAAAAAGCTGATCCCTTTTACAAATGCTTAAAAAATTACTCACTTGTATGCTATGTTGCACTCTAGATCAACCAAATCTTCTCTTTTATGGATCTAGAAAGCTATCAAGGTTTATTTTTTATTTTTTATTTTTTATTTTTTAAGATGGATAAATTATGATATTTGGTGTAATTCGACTTCTGTAATTATAATCTTTAGCATTATTAGGATTTTGTAATCTGTCGAATTTTTATTGTGAGTTTTAGTTTGTGAAAGTTGTGAACTCTGGTTGGAAAAAATGCCTTCAATAAAGAAAAAAAATGTTTCAGAGCTCTAGAGCTCTAGTTGCTTTAATGCCGTGGCAATTGGATGAGTCCTACCTTGATGTGATATTTTAGCTTTATATATATATATATATATATATATATTAAGCTGCCAGCTCTATCGAACCAAGCATTATTCATATACATATATATATATATATTAAGCTGCCAGCTCTATAGAACTCTATTTTGGGGCTACCAATCACTCTCTATTTTGCAGCTACCAATCACTGCTGAATAAAGAAATTCCACCAATTGCTTTGGGCACTGTGGAATTACTTATAGCTATAATGTGTGAATAATATATGATTTTCGTTAACTAGTATTTTAAAAATATTGGTTAATAATATTTAAATTGATTGTATAATTTTTATTTTATACATGCAATTTATGCAAACATATTAAACTTTTTAATAATTGCTTTAAGAACACTTTTGTTAATAAAATTCATAATATATTTGTGATGAATGGTGTAATTTACTTGCTTATTAAAGGGAAAGTGAGAATTAATATTGTTAGAAGTTTAAAAGATTCAACTTAAAATCTAGTAGTAATGGGTGCCCCTGAATTATATAAATTAACAAGATTGGGTAGTTTAATAAAGAACAAGTATTTAACATTACCATGCCAGTAATAGAGAGATGAGACGTGGGAATTAGACAGAGAGTAAAGATTTTACTTGAGAAAGTAGTGTTGATATTATATATGTTAGAATTTTGAAAACATTTAATTCAGAACCCAATTTTATATAGATTTAAATAAGTTATATTCACCATTTTTTTTATTTTATCTTTTTCTTTTGATTAAAATTTGGTGGGGTCATAGAAATAGTTTTAAACAAAGGCTCTTTTGGGAACACAGAAAAACGCGTTTGCGTTTTTTTAGCAAAACGCAGCTGGCGTTTTTGTTGTCATTGGGGAAGTCATTGGGGAAGTGTAAAAAGTAAGTTGTAAAATTACATATCTACCCTCAACATTTATATTTTGTAAGTTTGGGTGAAATGTAAATTTTTTAAGTTTAGTGAGGGTGTTTTAGTCCAATCACTTCCAAAAAATTTGGTTAAAAGTAACTTTTTACCAACTTCCTAAATCACTCCCAAAAAGTTTGATTAAAAGCTAAAAAATCACTTTTTACCATCTTCCTAAAACATCCCAAAAGCAATAAAAAAAAGCTATGATGTCAGAGCAAAGCAAACGATAATCACAAAGCAGTGTGGGGGCGCTGGACAAAAGATGATTACGTGGATGGATAAGTAGCTGCGTCGGTGCGCGTGTTTGTTTCTGTTTTGTCGTTTTTATGTTTTCGAACCAATCATTAAATAAATTAAAGGGTAAATTATCAAAAACAAAAAAAAAAAATTCAGAGTTGAGCATCTTTTTTAATTTAAATTTTAACAAATTACACTTTAGAGTTTCATCTGTGTTTTAATATGAACATTCTTTTTATATCCGTTTGGTTGAAACTAATGTAATTTGGATAAATTTTTTAAATTAAAGCATAAATGTTCAAACACTTGTATATTTTTCATCGTAATTTCATTTTTTCTCATTTTTACGTTGTTGAATTCATCTCATACCTTTGTTTTCATTCTACTCCTCATATGCCTCGCTTCACCTTTTTTTACTTGTCGTCGGAGTTTTGAAAGTTGGTCAAAAATAAGATTTTTCCCTCTTTGGGCAAAATTTTCAGATTCAAACTCATATGTTCAAGCCTTTGTATCTCCCTCATCGTTACGTCGTTATATTTATCTCATGGCCTAATTTTCACTTTATTCCTCATATACCTTGTTCCACCTCTTTTTACGTGTTATCGGAGTTTCGAAAATTGGCAAAAAATAAGATTTTTTTCTCTTTGGATAAAATTTTCAGATTCAAATTTACATGTTCAAAACTTTGTATCTCTCTCATTGTAACTCTATTTCATCTTATTTTTGCGTTGTTGGATTTACCTTATGACCTAGTTTTCATTTCACCCTTCATTTACCTTATTCCACATCTTTTTACATGCCATCAAAGCTCAAAAAGTTGGCCAAAAATCAAATTTTTTTCTTTTTTTTCCCCCTGTTATCTTCTATCTCCATGCTTCTTCCTTCCCCCTCCCTTTCCACTATTATTTTCTTTTTTTCTTTTCTTTCATTGCCCTTTCACTAAGATTGTGGTGGCCATTGAACCTCCAACAATAGCGGTGGAGGAGTATGACTTAAAAGTGAAAGGAAAGAAATGTAAGAGTGGGGGAAGGGCCATGAAGGAAGAGGAAAAGAGAGAATAATTGTAGAAAGGAAAAACAAAGGAAGAAACATGGAGATAGAAGATGGATGAAGAAAAAAAAGAATTTTTTTTATTTTTATTTTTAGCTAACTTTCGGAGTTTCGATGGCACGCAAAAAGAGGTGGAATAAGGCATATGAGGGATAGATTGAAAATTAGGCCATGAGGTGAATCCAAAGACGCAAAAATGAAGCTAAATGAAGTTATGACGAGAGAGATATAAGGGTTTGAACATATGGGTTTGAATTTGAAAATTTTGCCAAATAGAGAAAAATCTTATTTTTGGTTAATTTTCAGAGCTCCGATGGCACTCAAAAAGAGGTGGAACAAGGCATATGAGTGATGGAATGAAAATTAGGCCATAAGGTGAATCCAACAATGCAAAAATGAAATGAAACGAAATTAGGACAAAGGAGATACAAGTACTTAAACATGTGTTTGAATGTGGAAATTTTGTCCGAAGAGAGAAAAATTTTATTTTGGCCAACTTTCGGAGCTCCAATGACACGTACAAGGTTAAACAAGACATATGATGGATGAAATGAAAATTAAGCCATAAGATGAATCCAACGACACAAAAATGAGGCGAAACGGAGTTATGACGAGGGAGATACAAGTGCTTAAATATGTGTGTTTGAATTTGAAAATTTTACTCATATTTCGTTAGTTCAATCAAACGGATCTGGACAGAGGGTTCACATTGAAACATGGATGAAATTCTAGGGTTTAATTTGTCGAAATTTAAATCCTGGGATTTAAATTGAAAAACACGCTAAATTTTGGATTTTTTTTTTGTTGTTGGTAATTTGTCCTAAATTAAAATTAATTTTTAAATATAAAAATTAAGTTTGATCTTAAATTCCCATTACAAAATTTAAAAAAGAACCACTATAAAATTTAAAAAAGAAGTTTGAGATTAAATTTAAATTTAACTTAAAATAAGCTCGGCGGAATTTTACATATATGCATGCAATAATGGTCCCGTTTAGTAGAGATGTGGAAAAGTGATTATAGATTATATTTTATAGCTGTGAACATAAGCTGTTAACCTGTTTGGTGCAGCTATGAGATTATAGATTTAAGCAGCTGAGTAATGTTTGGTTAATAAGCTGTAAAATAACTTTTTATTGTGTAATTGTTCTTTTTACCTTTATATGATATAAAATGATTATTTTGTCATTTTTTTCAGTTTTAATTTAAAAAATTATTTCATTAATAAAAGTTAATATAATTAGTATTATAAAAATTATCATTTTATTAATAGTATCAATTAGTATAAAATTATTTCATTTTTTCATTATAAATTAATTAGAGTTAATTAATGGCTTAATTAGTATCAATTAATACTAAAATTATTAATAGTATCAATTAGTA